GAGAGAGAGTGTTTGACTTGACTTGTCTTCTCGAAGTGGTGGTTAGACCAGCGGTGAAAGCAGAAGGCAGCTCCTTTCCTCAAACAAAAATAAGCACGTTTACGACGAGCATGGTAGTGCTGGTGGCAGTGGTGGTGGTGGTTGAAGCTCAACGGCGACAAACAAAAGTGCTTCGGTGTGCAAAAAGAAGCGAGAAGCGATACAAATAAAGTGATAGTAGTAGTGCTGGTGCTGGTGACCAGGTAACAGAAGAAGAGGCAGGGAGCAGAAGGAAAGAAGGAAAGAAAAACAAGCGAACAAAAAGTGAAAAGAGCAGACAACGGCAGTGTGAGTGAGTGTGACAACGGTGACGCCGTTTATAGCAGCGGAGACAGCGGTACGAAAACGGCTAATTGTACCGCTCCCAATTTCGAACTCTACTTCGGTCGGCGCTGGTCGGTCGGTTGCTAATGAGGGGCAGGGGCAGCAGCCGCAGTTGGGCTAATTGGAAACTGTCTGTTCTTCTGTTCTTCGAAATTGAACTGTTCAGTGAAGGCAAAGGATGACTTTTTCTTCGTTGCTGCTTCTGCTTGACAGTCGCCGATAAGAAAACGCCAGGAGTTAGTTTCAGCAGCAGCAACAGCAGCTCAAGACGGCGAGACAACTGGTGATTGTGGTGGCGGTGGTGGTCGTTGCAACAAGTGCATACACTCACCTCAACTTCATCTTCTCGACTGCTGGAAAGCGAGAGGCACTGCAGAAATGGCAGCAGTAGCAGCCAAGTAGAATTAGAGTTTAGAGACAAACTGTGAAGTGACTAGGGGCGGAGGACAGCTTCGGCAACAAGCTAACTGGCTGCTGCACTGTAGTACGTGTTGCGTACCACCACCATTGTACAAAGGAGACAAACGATCAAGAGAAAGAAGGCAGGGAGAGAGAGAGAGCAAGAAGACTCTGCATAGATGCTGATGCTGATGATGATGATTGGCCATTTTCGTTGTGTGGTAAGCAGACAGACAGGCAGACAGGCAGACAGTGCAGTGAATGGGCGCATGCAACTGCAGAATGCGCAACAGCAACAACAACTGCCGTACAGTCCATGTCAGCGCCGATGTCTGCGCAGGACCCACAAACAAGCAAGAAACAATGGAACAGCTCTGAGAAGAGCACAATAACTCTGAACTTTGGCCAGCAACAAACAGACAGACAGACTTGGCCTCCAAAGTGGAGCTGAAGAGCCTTTTTGTCAGCTAAACTAAATTGAGAAAAGATCGACACAATGGATCATCGTCTTGTGATGGCCAAGATCGATAGTAGCTTCTCTCACTCTGATCAATCATCAGAAAAAATCAAAGTCTCATGATGAAAAAGTTCAGGTAATACAAAATTGCCTTAGTGCTCTTCTTCTTCTTCTTCTTCTTTGTCATGCAAAACGCTCGTCACAAACTCCTCTCTCTCTCTCTCTCTCTTTGACTCATCAGCTAATCTTTGCATGCTAATAATTGTTGTTGTTTTCAGGTTTCAATCAACAACAACAAAACTAGGTGAAAACCCAGACACACATTTGCAGGCAACGGCTGAAACACGGTAGTTGTCAAGCGTCCTGCGTATCACCGCTGCTGCTGCTGCTGCTCAATATCACAACTGATGAAAGGGAGCACAACATGAGTTATTCGGTGTTCGTTATAGCTGTAGTTGCAGTTGTGGAGCAGTGCATTCACTCTTGCCAGCAAAAGAGAGCTCGTCATTGACGACTCCTGCACGCTGTACGTCAGCACTTTCGCTTTCTCTACCTTTGTATGATTAAAGTGTATGCTAATAACACTACCGCACCATCACCATTGCTCGGAGATGATGCGGCGGCAGTGGCCACACTTTTCCAGCATCAAGGATGAAAAGCTGAAGATACTGGATACTAACAAGGAAACTATGAGCATGTGCTCTAATGTGTTCAAGTGAAAACTGCTGCTGACTTTGAATCATGCAAAAAGTGCTATGTGTTTAGCATGTGCACTGTCAAAATCAAGTTCAAGTGCACAAGATGCAACTGATGATGATGGCAATGTGATGAGATGATGAGAAGGTGAAAGAAGGTAAAAGAAGGTGAAGAAGGTAAGTGCAATAAAGAAGGAAAGCAAGCAAGGAAGGGGCAAGAAATGATCATGGTGATCACTTCTTGGAAAAGAGTAAACAAGCACACAAACTTACCTAAAGGCCGTAAACTTGCTCTTGGGCACTGCGCTGATCGGTTTGCCGCGGCAGTGTTCGCACTGACTGCTGCTGCTGCTGCTGTTGTTGTTGCCGTTTTCGGTGTTGCTGATCTGTCTAACTGAGCTCTCGCCCGAAGAGTCTTTTCCGCTGGCTTGATTTTCTGGAGTGGTCGGTAGCACTTTACTTGCCCTTGAAGCCACCCTCACCCCCGCCTCTTCATCCTCTTCTTCAGCATCCTCCTCTTTTGTCGGTTGAACCACCTTTCTCGCCAGATCATCATGATTGTAGTGGTGATGGTGGCGATTGTCACTGATGCTGCTGTTGCTGCTGTTGCTGGAGGCGGAAGACGGAAGGGCACTGGTGGTGATGATAGCCAGCTTGGAGTCATTTCGCTGAATGGACTTGGTTGAGTGGCCATTGCTGCTGCTGGTGGTGGTGGTGATAAGTGCCGGTTCCATGTTCTCTTGTGTTTGAAAATGAGCGAATGAGTGAATGAGATTGAATGAGTAAGCAATCACACTTATCAGCAGCTGTCAGCTGTGATAGTAAGTGAGTTGACGGTGGTGGCAGTGATGAGGAATCAACCCAAACACTGAATCAAAGGACAAGTCGCCTGTTGCTGCTTAGGATGATAGGGTGCTAATGGTCTGTGTGTGTGTGCGTTAGGGCAAGAAGGCAGGCGAGATGGCGTAAAGTGGTGGCACTCAGTGACTTTGTGCCGGTGGACGAGAGCTGTTGATATGTTTTTATACGATTTTTTGTGGC